TTCAGAGTGTGTTGGCGAGAATTACCCAGCAACTTGCCCCTCACTAGAGCGACAAAATGAAGTAGAAAAGCGGGAAGAAAAAACGAAATCTACGATCAAAAACGGACCTCGTTTTCGTATACGGGTAGGCATTCCAGGCTTCTTCGTGTGCTTCGAGAGCGCTCGTCGGCAGAACACTTCGAATCCATACTGAAAAATCAACTGTCAAGTCCAATTTTTGAAAAGAGCTGAGAGCGCTGCGGCATCCAGCGTAAAGTCTGTCATGAGGGGCCGTGAAGATAATATAGCTACTAGAAAATCCCAAAGGGATGCTACAATGTTCTCAAAATTTCGCCTACACTAAATGCCATCTTAAAAGCACGGTTCCGATTTTGGAAGCCAAGTAAGTATGTTGATATATGGAAGAGAAGGTCCGGGACTCGTTTGAGAAAAAAATGCAAAAGAGAAGGTTGGAAACGTCTCTCATAAGACCCCGGCTTTACGAGATGTGAAGAATCAGCTACTTGGACCTCCTCCTTCGCATAACTGATCCGGAAACGGACCCCATGACCCAACAAGCGACAATATTGCCTCTGTCTCATGCCAGTTTCTCGGTGGCGTGGTTTTTTTTGAGAGGCGAACTTTGGAGGCGCAGTGCGGAGGCGGAGCCACCAGCAAAGAGGAGGCGTCACTGGAGCAGCATTGTGCCCCAGCTCCTTTACCTTAAAACTTCGCCGTGAAACTGTACAGGGTTATTCGCTGCTGCCCACGCTACCTTTCCCAAGCAATCTGTTACACTTTCGTGGGTCAGCGCGGACCGTGCCTTTAAGCATTTACTGAAAGCTTCGCGGCGACATTCCATGTACCCCACCTCTTTGAATCCTCTTCTTTCACTTTACAACACCCTTTGAGAAAGATGGTAACTAATACTCGGAGAAAATTCTAATATTTCACGTTATCTCAGCTCCTCTGCTTCACAGTGCCCAAATATTTCCCTACTCCACGCGCATGCAAGGCAGTGGCTCCCAAATAGGAGATATTACTGTTGGGATTCCTTAATGGGAGGGCTATTTCTATTTTGTATTTATTTGTACTCCAGCGTTCAAGGATGAGGGGGAGGGGGCGCACTTGACGCGATGAAAATTTGTTCATCCCTAACTTTTACCATTTCAGAAATATCCCTTACGAACAGATGTCGCAAGGCGGTTTTATTCTGAAAAACGTTTGCCATCAGAACGAATTGCCCTGAAAATTCGTCCTCTCTCAAAATAGTCTATTTATTGCTGTGTGCCCTAAATGAAACTAAACAAAAACTGAAAATATTTAATTTCAGCAGCAAATTTAATTTCGCAGAAATGCAGCTACGATTCGGCATGTATTTTCTGTCAATCGTATCGTCTTCAGAGTTTCCAAGATAGGCTCTGTACAAACCTATGCATATACTTCCAACGCGATTTCTTGGTGGACTACGAACCAATTTTTCTTTCTTCATCGAGTCAATGGAAAGTCTTTCTCTCATAACGTGACAGGATGAACCGTTAATCCGAAGAAGCCATTCATAGCTTCTCAAGTGACTAAGATTAGAAGCCTCTCAAAGTCATGGTAATGACGGAATCAATCTACTGCAAATAAGAGAACGAAAAATCATAAAAGGTAAACATATGTATATATAAGTCAATTACTCAAATAAAACCGTGTGACATGACCCGTAGCGATTTATTATGTAGGATATCTAAAATGTGCGACAAAAGAGGGTCCCGCTGCAAGTTTCCCCTCCCCCAACTTCAACAAAGTTGAAGTTGTGAGGGGAGGGGCACATGACGGTGCGACGGAACCATTTTTTCATTACTTCATGTATATTCGTCTGCGCACTCTTGTCGATATGGCGTTCGAGCTGTTCATGCCGGTGAGCTCTCCCGATGTAATTTCACATGCAGAGCTGGACTGTAACCTTTCTCTGCTGCGGTAGGGCCTGGAACAGTATCCTAACTCAATCAGGGCACGTGATGCTGCTGGGGAATATTTTTGGAGAACACCCCCCCCATCCCTAATCGGACCCCTCTGCCCTCCCTATCCTACCAACCACTTTTCCTAGATGTTCTCAACCTCCTAGCAGTTTTTATAGAATTTCCCGAAGTGTTCTAGTTTTTCCCCAAAATTTTGCTTGTCGAGCGGCCAGAGGGGGTTCGTAATCACTTTCAAAGTTTCAAATTCGACCCCCTCCCCACTCTCCCAACCAGTTTCAAGTACCAGAAATAGTAAATGTATAGAGCTTTCGCGGCGCCTCCAACTAAGGGGGAGGGGAATTTCTCCCAGCACAGCAAAATTTTCTCAAAGGCAATGACGACCCCCATCCCTTTCCCAACAACAAGCAAATACAACCGCCCCGCTGGGAATTCCCCAACGTACGGCGTGGTCTGAACTCAATTGTCTGTCTTATTAACTTTTGAAACCGAAATTCAAAAGTTATAGGAATCACATGAGAAACATCGATCCAAAACCGTTAGTTTCCCCCACTTTTCAACTTACTTGTTTAGCTCCGTTCCGTTCTCTACAAAGGTAAACTCAATTCACCGCTATACTGTATTAGCATGAGGGGTAAGATTTGCCCATGAACTCGAGTTTCAGATTGTAGTCATAGCTGTTGACAAAACCACTTCAGTAGATTTTGTTAACTCTAAGCAGTGAACTTTTCAACGAGGTCAAATGCGACACACAGCATTTCAGTGGATGCTCGTTAATTGAAGTGGCAGCTGTTCGTTTGCTGCACCTTTTTCCAGCCGAAGTCGTGAAGCAATAAAATATAGCGCCATTAATTTCAAATCAACTGAATCCTTTCGCTGTAAAAATTATCGCTCAACATTCTCAATTTCATAGCAGGAATAGTCACCATAGACTTCGATCAGCCGAGTTTACCTTTGCAAAAAAAACCTGGTAAAGAAAAGAATGCGGAAGCTGCAGTGCGAAAGTGATAGTATAACGCTTTCAGCTGAGTGAACGCTTTTTGGGATGTGCCACGCATTCTATTCCACTTGGCATCGTAATGACGCTTTGAATGCGATTATCCTATTGGAGCGAATTCTTCATCCGTCAGTATTTCTCTTCTGTCGGAGAGCTCTGGTACATTGCCGATCACGGAAGAATGGAAGGCCTTTTCGTCGGGGCGAGTGTACAGGGAGGGGGGGGGCAAAAAAAAGACTTTTTTCTTCCTCGACTTTCGAGGCGCTATAAGTTACACTTTATTAAATTCTTATCGGACATTTCTACCACCATATTAAAGAGCATATTAAATACTATCATGATACTCCGCCACAGCCTTCTGGAGGAGCGCCATCGAGAGATTCTGCCACGCGACCGTGAGTGCCTGAGTTCAGCGAGATAGTATTTAATATGCTCTTTGATATGGTGGTAGAAATGTCCGATAAGATTTTAGAAAAACTAAAGTGTAACT